AAATTCTCTTGCATGCTTTCAAGATAAGAATAAAACCAACCTCATGATTTCATGTGCATTGTGTGGTGAGCTTTTAGATCAAAATTCAATTGCATCGCACTGTTGATCTAGAACTTGGCTTGAATGTTTATCGAGGCGAAATCCTGAGTTATGTTTGGTTTGGGAAAGGATCGTAGGCCTTCTTTGACCCGATTGTGCCTTTCAAAGCCTACCAAATGACATTAATCCCTTGTTTTCCCCACTTTGAGCCTGAAACCTTTTTTTGGACAACCACATCTTAGCCACTACCCCATTTAGTGCTTACATGCACTATCCCTCTCTTGGCCCAACCTTCTTAAGTGCACCAAAAATGTGCAAATTATAAGATAAGATCCATGTTTGAAGTTGCCAAAGGCAAAAGATACAAAGTCTCCCAAAGTTGAGAAAGCAAAAAAAAAAACGACTTCTAGAAAAAAAAAAGAAAAAAAAAGAAGGTGGAAAGAAATAAAGAAAGACAAAAAGGAAAAAAACTCCAACAAAAGAGGAGAAAACTTCAAAACAAAGGGATGAAAAAGGAAAAGCTCCAACAAATAAGAATTCAAAAGAAGTTGAAAAAAAAAACAGGGGACAATAAAGAGGATCTGATGCCAAAGGTGTATCAATCATCAAAAACACAAATTCACTGGACACTCAAGAAGGAATGAAGTCACTCTTATCCCAAATATACATCCTACTCGTCCTTAAGCCTACATTACAAAGCCAATAACAAGTCCTACATGATCTCATTCCAAATTTTCTCACATTAGTGGAGATTTACATAATGGCCCAGCATATGGTATCACAGTTGCATGCATTGATCATTCTTGTGAGTGTGAGTGCACTTCAAAAAATGTCCTCAAATAATATGCTTCAAATATGTGTGAAATATGATTTTTCTTTTTGTGAGGCACTTGAAACATGGGGATTGGTACAATTCAAATCTTTGTTTGAAGAAAGATGAACAAATCTTGTTGATACTTAAGTATGTTTGAGATACCACTTGAAGCTGTAGGAGTTACCTTCAATTCAATCTTAGTTAAAAAAAAAGGGAGAGATTTACATGCGATCCTGACTCATGGTACCAATTGTAGTCAAAATTTGACTGTCTCATCACATTCTTTGTTCCTCAAAAAAAAAAAAAAAAAAAAGGGAGTAAGCACCCACTCTTTAATATTTTCCAAAGCTTTTTTTTCCATTAAAAAAAAAAAGAAAAGAAAAGAAATTGCCTTTCCTTTTTGGGTTGTTCATTGTAAAAGTGTCATTAGATTAATCTTGCCAATGTGAGACGCCTATTTTACTTCATTGGGTTGTCCGTCCCAATAATGTGACACATTTTTTGTCTTTAGGCTTTAAATATGACAAAGAATATCATTTTCCTATTTCATCATGTTCATATTGTATATTTTCTACTGATGATCTTGTCTCAGATTCTTTGCAGCATTCATCATCTACATGATTGGAACTACATTTGACCTGATTCCTGGCTCAACATGATATGTAGGCGCCACGATGGCTCGGTCATATACCCAGTGTGATTTTCTTTCCACCTTGTAATAAAAACTAGGATAGAATTTTTGAGAATATCTCAAAAATTCACAATAAAGATGCTATCTCCAGCAAATCAATATTGGAGATCATTTTGAGATTTGCCAAAAGTTCTATCTGGGACAGAATTTTTGAGGAAGACCTCAAAAATTTCAACAAGTACTATCAGAAGCTTGATAGTCAACTTCAAATGATCCATCATCGCTTAAAGTTAAAAGTCAACTTGAAAATCTCCAACATTGTCATGTACAGGAACAGGTGAAAGCATTAATGCGATGACACTTTCAAGACAATCATCGAGCCATCCACCTCGTTACAATGGACGATCATCGAGCCATCCACCTCGTTACAGTGGACAATCATCAAGCCATTCACCGCGTTACAGTGGACAATCATCGAGTCATCCACCTCGTTATAGTGTAGAATCATCGAGC